ACTGAAGCTGCGTCAACTGACTGGAAGCTGAATTTCCAACTCCAACAGTAGAGCCAATTGTACCAGAAGCTGGACCTGAGGGAACTAATGGCTGCCCTAATCTTCCAGTAAGCTGATTCTGAACACCAACAGCATGCTGGCTCAACGAACCCTGTAGTGGTATTGAACTTTGCCTAACTGCAGACTGTGCAACTTCAGGAGCCACGACAGTTCCGGCAGAAACAGATGAAATAACCATTGTTGATGTAGTTCCCGTAGTATGTTGTTTTGGCTGCGCGGGAGAATCTGAAAACACATCTCCGAAAAGTGAGTCAGAGGCAAACCCGTTTCCTGATGCAGCTAGTTCCTTGGGATCCTTCGCTACCAATTGACTGGATGGAGTATCTGGAGCACGAACACCTGAAGGAGCAGATGAAACTTGAGGCTTGTGCACAGGTGCTGATTCTTGGGGTCTGGCTGTTGTAGAGCATATGACTGCAGGGGTCATATGTTGTGTTGGTATATGGTTGGCAACTGAATTAGGTGCTATCAAACCATATGCACTCTGACTCGGAGGAATTTGAGAATTCACTTGCCCAGAGGAGGCAACACTTCTGCCGCTGAGCCAATCAGATGGCATAGGTTGGTTTGCAGGACGAGGCGCATTAGTCCCTCCAACTGGCATACCATGGCTTTGAAAGTTTTGATGTGGTTGAGATGGAGGTGGCCCATTGAATTGGTTCTGCTGGCCGGGGACTACTTGTTGGTTAGTAGTGCTTACAGTTCCACCCATTTGAGGCCCTCTAGCCGCTACTGATGGCAGTGATGTAACTCCCTGAGCTTGTGTAGCAGGCATAACTGCCCTGGGCTGTGGAGAGGGTGTTGCGGCAAGATTTATTTTAGGAGCAGGGATATTGGCTGAAGCAGGACTATATATTGCAGCCTTCACTATCTCAGGAGTTAATTCCCGTCTACTTTGTGCCACAGTAACCAACTTCAGAGCATTATAAAACTCCGCTCGACCAAGGAAACCAGCCTTTTTTGCATCTGCATAGGACCATACCTACAAGGTATGAAAAAAGTCATAGCATTAACAATCCAAATAATAGTTGTTATACAGGCACTCAGAAAATGCTTATCTCCGAACGAATCTGCATATGTTCTCTACAGTCCAGAAAACATAAGTTAAAACTAAAATATGCAGAATTCCCTCATTCCATACAATGATCTAAGCATGTGCACGGTAGAGAAAAGTAGATACATCTAGATTGCTTTTCTATCAATTCAACATGCTATTTGCATTCAAATTTCACTCTCCAATAGAAAGAAAACCCACTAAAACACACTGCCCTGATCTGATAGGAGGTTAATTGTATCACCAGATGTGACAATCCGAAAACAAGTTCAGTGCAGAATACAATACAGCTGAGAATATGTCGAGATGGAACTGGATTCTCCAATAAAATCACATAAACTGAACTACAAGCTCCAGAATGAAAGAAAAATCCTCGTAATCAACCGACAGAGAAACAAATTTGACACAATACGTCACATTTTACTAGCCAACGACCTCAAAGATCAAAGATCCAATTCAAAACCTACAGATATTCTCCACCGTTCCGCAAAAATCAAACAAAAAAAGCATCCAAAAGAAAGAAATAGAGTCCAGATTTCGCGGAAGAACCTGAGCAAGGACGTGTTTAGGCAAATTCGATCCCTGGAAGAAAGCGACGGCCTCAGCTCCACTGATATGACCATCTCCATCCAAATCTGCCCTCCTGAAATACGTATCGAACAGATCCTGGCTCCCCGTCGGCCTTGGCGCTGCCATTTGAAAACGGAGGATGATTCCGAAATCTAGCAGCGAGGAAGACAGTGTCCACAAGTTTTCCGCATCAAAAAGCACGATCCAAGATGCGTAGAAAAACCCTAATTCATAAGGCTAACAGAGCGCAATCGTAGATCAGTAAGGGAGAGACCACCGCATCGCAGGAAGGAGAGACTCGATTGAGACGAAGGAGGAATGGGATCGGGAGAGAGACGGAGAAGAGAAGCGGAGAGAAAATAAGAACGGAGGTCGATGATGATTCTCCGACAGAGAAACAATTCAATTTCCCGGGATTTGAGATGGGAAAAACCGGTACAGCGATGATAGAGAAGAGAAAGATTTGGGAAAGTTTATGATAAATGTCTTTTTTTTTTGTTGGTTCTATAATGAAATCGTATAAGAACCTCGAGATGCAAATAATATAATACGGACAAGAGTTTGATGTAAAATATAATAAAATATCTGCAATTCCTACTTTTACCGTAACATCAGACGACCTATGTGGAATTTATTTGAGGTGTGATTATTTTGTAAAATATTTTTTTTTGTTATGATAATAATTAATAATCCAAAG